GACCTTCTCCCAACACATAGCACTTGACATTATGGACATTGGCTGGCCCAGCCGCTCTACGGATATGTAGGTCCAGGAACACCATCGACGTGCGCGTCAATCGCTTCTGTCCCGCTACTTTGAACACTGGCGGGTTTATAATTGGCACGATCTTCACGTCTTTGCACCGCTCTTGAATTATTCTGACGAAATTGACTGGTTCAATGCTATTATCCGCTCCAGTATCAGGACACATGGAGATTTCCAGAACTTCATTGATCAACACTGAATACTCATCCGACGCATCGTCTTCTTTGACTTTAGATCCATCAAAAGGACCCTCTTCCATTACATCATATTTCACCGCCACTCGCTTCACTTGTCAGCTTCTCTTCTCCCGTTGCGTCTTCAACCGGGCTTCGCGTTCTTCGGGTGTCGCCACTGGACAATCTCGAACCCAATGACTTCCTTTACAGGGTAGGCAACCGTGGCGAGGTCCGGATCCACTTCCACTCACGTTTCCCTTACGAGCGCTTGCATCTGAAGGTCGCGCCACTTGGTCAGACGTCGAAGAGTTGTTCACAGTTGGCTCGCGTTGTACCGGTGTAGTGCGATTCCCATCCCTATTAGGAAATCCTCTACCCGGTTTAGACCGATCCCGCCCATGGAATTTGTTGTAGTACAGCTGTTGCTCCTTGGCTCGCTTAAGTACCAACTTGTATAGCAGTTGATCATTCGCCTTGACGTTCTTATACTTGAGCTGCTTCAGCATTCCCTGGATCTCTTCCTTCAGCATTGGTGGTTAAAGGTTCTCCACCAGTATTTTGTTCCGCTCCTTCATGCGATCTGTATAGTCTAGGTCCCCTGTCCGACCACGACCCAGATTCTCTTGAGACAACCCATTCTCTTTGACTATTTGCTCGAATAGCATATAGTACATGGATACACGACTGGGAACATCTTCGATGGAAAGATCCATTTTCAATTGCTTGTTGAATAGGGCAGACGGGTCACTTACGTACGCCTCATTCATCGTTTCACATCGCTCTTTGACCTTCTCCATGATCTTGTCCTCGGAGATGTCTTGTTAGTCTTTGCCAAATTCGTATTGAGACAAGAAATTCAGCAAGTTGGGGTCAATGGGGGTGCGGATACCAGCAACCACATTCTCGAATGGCTCATTGGTCCACCGACAACGTTCCCGCACACGCACTTCGTACTGGCCCGGGCCCGGCCACTGTACGAGTGCCGTTTGGTCCCGCTCCTTCATCTTCGGCGGCGCAATATATTCGTATATTGGCTGCGGAACATACATGTCCACATCATCGTCCGTCACTAGACGAATCCGCGACATCTGCGTTGTTTTGCCTACGCTTCTGCGAACTGCTCGCAACCAAAGTATACTTTGTAGTCTCTTGTGATGTTCAATATAAATGCAGTAGTGTTTCTACAGCTCTATCTCCCTATGTGGGCTACGGAACGTGACTCTTCGCAACCGGCGGTTCTTGTGGACCGATTCCACGAACCGGTTACCCACTGTAGGGTATTGGGAAGTCTGATACCAGGACACCCGTTCACACTACGACGACCGAGTCTAGAAAGACTTTATCCTCTGTGACAAAGGAGCTAAAATTTATCAGGACCAGCTAAATGGATTCTCATCTTCAACAGACCCCACATGATATACACAGTTTGTAGTCCAAGAGTATGAGCGTAACTGCTCGTCTCACCAGTTACGAGAATATGCTGATGGGACATCCTTAAGACTCTTCACTTGGCGTCAGTGGGGGGTACAATCAGCTTCTAGCGTGACGCCGTTTATATTTAGCGTCTAGCTTGATGAGGACAGAAAGAGTTAGATTTTTTCTGGATTACAAACCTGAGATGGCCAAGATTTCGACCATGCTCCACATGTAGCAATAGCGCGTTGTTCTAACAGTATCCATGTTAAGAAGCAACGAGAATGAGATCCTAATCGCAATGACCCTATAGTTGGTGCAGCGGGGGTGCCATGTGCACGTCTCCTGGTGAATGTCGCGGGGTGTGCTGTGCGTAATAGAATTATATTGAACGCTGATAAGCATTTGCGATACCGAGGGGCGAGATCGGGCGATCGCGATCAAATCTCTCCTGTTTACGGCTGCGGAAACGCACACGACGTGACAAATGTTCCGACAGAAAATCAATGCGCGAGAATAAAGAGCGACGTCGATAAGGACGCTTGGCTGCCACAAGCCTGGAAGCTAAATGCATTTGACTTGGTACCTCAGCTGCTGACAACGTGGCGAGCGTTTGATTGCCAGATTCGTTGCCGCCACGTCAATCTGAAATCATTCCGCACGATATATTGGGTAATTCTGCTCATACATCGTTGTGTGTTTGGCAACAGTTCCCGTTAACGAGCTTTGCCTAACAAATCTTCGTTTGCGACAATGATAGCCAAAGGGAACATGTTAGCCGAAACATACTTAAAATCAGTACGAGTGTAACGAATCGCAATTCAATTACTCTAAGAGACTCTTCCGATTATGATGTAAACTGTATTTCTCGGTTCTATTTGCGGCAAAGCCGCGTATATCTAAATCTATAGGCTTTCCTACCTAGATTGCAAAACCTGATTAAATGTATAACTACTGGCAGTCCAGCCACGTACTGACCTCTTGTTAAAAAGTAGCCACACAGTTGTGTGGTCGTACCATCTTGTGTGACCCGCACCCTTCATACCAGGGCACATGAAATCCTGTTACAGTTGGAACATATGCGATTGGTGAGAAGTTGATGCAACAGATGCGGCGAGTGTTTGCACGTCTTACCAGGCTTAGCGTGTGCGCTGAGTTTCTTGTGTATGTGGTCAGGGAGGCGTAAATTTGCAAACTATGTCCAAGAGCTGGGAGTTTTATCGCCGCGATGGTGAGAGACGAACCATCAGAGGCATCCATCTTCATGAATCGCACCGGAGTAGTACGGAAATTTTCGTCCTCTCTACCTCATTTGAGAAAGCTATTGTCGTCGCATTTAATACGAAATACAATATTCGTGCCACAAGGGCCAGCTATGGTGCCATGCTGAGGAGAAAGAGAGAGAATGCTAAGTTGCCAAACAGCTCCGTGGTACTCGCAGATGTAACATTTGCAAGTGAATTAAGTATCTGCGCCTTGCGCTTTTCTACTCATCTCAGTTAAGAGATACGAGGCGGTCTCTCAAGTAGTGGCGCTCGATGAGCCACTCGTGAAGAGATTTTGAGCTCCAGTGAGTGCACGATACCAGGCGCTTCAAGCTGAAGAGCTCGCGCATTTTGCGCAGTCTGTCGAAATTGATACGAGGGGTCCTGCATTGTATGATAAAGACGTCGTTGCGAACGTCAATGAGAGTAAACCACGGGTCGAGACACGAGCGTGCTCTAGATTTGGCAAGGTGGGGCACATTTTGGCTGCTTGCCTCGACGAGAAGAAAAAAGTATAATGATGCCGATGGTGTCTGGAGGAGAAACGACGAGAAAAAGGCAATTGTAAACTACATCTTGTGCGTGCAAGATAGCGGCATGCAAGACAAGATCTGGATCCTGGATAGCGGGTCGAAACGGCATCTCGTGAACAACACAGCACAATTGGAAGTTGCTCGCGAATGCGAAGACCAATGCTTAGTAGATGATGGCAAAATGCTTCAGCTGACGCTGGTTGGTAGCGCACTGCTTCGGGTAATGGCGCTCAGCAAGCCGAGCATCATTCGCCTAACGGACGTCTACTACGAACCGATATATTGTCGTACGGCAAGCTAGAACTTAGAAGATACGGACTTGAGTATACAAACGATCGGCGAGCAATCAGATCGCTCAGCACCGGTAACATTGTCTTTGATGTGGCACTACAAAACAACGTGCTTGTTGTCAAAGTACAAGCCAAACACGAAAGCATCAGCAAGACTGGCTCAATCGTGGCATCGATCACAAAGGTGAAGCGCGGAGAAGACGTGCAGCGTGGAGCACTCGTGCATTTTCATCAGCGCTTTGAACACCTTTAGTACGACACAATCAAGAGGATGGTGCTTGAGCCTGGCTCTGGAATTCAGCTCACAGACTGTCGACGCATGGTGTGCGTCACGCGCCCATAGTAAGCAAACCGAAGAATACGCTGTCAAAGAAAGACATGGACGCGCACTCCCCGATCGATCGCATCTGTCATGTGATTTGCTCGGACCTTAAGGGGTCGATGACACCAAAGGACCAACTTAAGAATCGGCACCTCGTTAGCTATGTCAATCATAAGAGCAATTACTGCCGTGTTCTTGTGGCGCGCATCAAGGACCAAGCGGCAATTTTTTTAAGGATTCTTGGTTTTCGTTGAGAAGCGTTTCGACTGTCGTGTTCATGTACTATGCACAGATAGGGACGGTGAATATCAAAACATTGATTTGTTCTGCAAGTCTGTAGACGTGTCACTGCAGGTGAGCGAAGCAAGGAATCAAGCATCAAACGGCAAGGCAGAACGCATACACCGGACAGTTCTAAACATGGCACGCTCTAAGACTTTTTCAAACAAGATCCCGCTAAAAATCTGGGTAGATGCAGCGAAGTTCTCGGCCTACAGACTGAATCGCAGTCCCGCGAGCTCGAATGTCAACCAAGCATCACTAATCGAGGTGCTAGGAAGTCATGCACCCGACCTTCAAGGCATAGTTACTTTCGGCTCTGTGTGAACAGTATTATCGTGGAGAACCTTTTGGCACATATGGCGTAGATAAGTGTCTTTGTGGGTTGCAGCGACGAGACCAAGAGATATCGCGAACGCATGAACAACTTCATGACATATACTTCAAATATGTACTTTTGGTCTCCGAAAAGTCGCACTCGATTATCCTGGCAGTGAAACATTTGTGGACCTTCTGAGCGAGATGGGTCATCTCGCTAATTTAGGTGATTCCGTCTGTTGTTGAGGATACAGCTAAGCTGTTCCTCGACAAGTTTTTGCTAGCATGGCCTGCCAGTGGCCATCGTGTCGCACTGTCGTCAACGCTTTACAGCCAATTTCGGTCAATTCTACAAAATATTAGATTGGACATGTTGACACCTGACCATCTGCAGACAAGTGAGCTTGCGGAGCGCATAAATTGCGCAATTGAGAATACGATAGTTTGACGCAATTACGCGAAAAGACCGCTGCTGTAATGGGGTTACACGTACCCTATTATGGAAGGGTGGGTATCACACAAGTTAGTGTAACTGCATAGAGGTGTGGCTACACCGTAACAAGAAGCCACCACATGGCCAATTGTAATACATATTACAATATTGATTGGTTTTTTATATTAATTAGGTATTACTAGGCTAGTTAGAAAATCAAGGGTTTTGGATATTGGCGGCTCTGCCTCAACTAAAACAATCGAATACAGTCTCAATTTTGTACAGAAGTGTTCGTTTGCCTTGGTTAGCGCTTTAGCATTTGGAGGTAGTGGGTTGCGATCCGCTACACTTGTACTGGTTCTTGGAAAGAACGTAAGGTCGGTGACCTAGCTTCCTCTAAGCAAAAAGCTGTGGCAGCTCCGCTGCAGCAGATCGAGTATGATTTGTTTCCACTCATCATTTCTGTATTTATAAACGCAGTACATGCTTCCAAAAGCCTCGCTTTAACCGTAACAAATGGTTTGTAAATTCTCGTGTTCCTGTGACACCCTCTTTAAAGTATCAGTTCTTGATAAAAATTGACTCGCTGGCCACACTTCAAGACATCCCCACAATTTTTTTCAATAATATGAGCATCATTCGTCGACTGCGCGACGCTACGACAGGAAGCCAGGATGTGACCTAGCAAGCTGGCTGGAGAAACACAGACGTACATGATGCGGGCAAAAGGGTTAGACAAATGCAAATATTTAACCTTTACATTCAGTGTCTACGGTCTAAAAATATATTCACAATCACGCTACGTGGAATCGCTCACGGTCGTAGCCGAAAACGGACTGAGTCGCACCCCATATAACCCGCAGAGAATGCGAAACATCTTGGGCTCTACGTGGGCTGGCTGAAGCCATATTATGATCTCACTCTCACCAGCCGGTTTGATATGTAACGGCTTGTTTGCTTAGTTGAGTACGAATGTCGTCTCCAACACCCCTTGTTGCTGATCCATTTTCTACTTTATCCCAGCAATGCAAAATTAAACACATGGGGCCTTAAGCCACACAGTCTGATGACGTAGCTTAAAAGCGCACTGAACGCTAGATTATCGCTGTTTCGGCCACACGTCAAAATTATCAGACGCTGAACTGACAGAGCTCAGGAGAGCCAGCTGGATGATGGCATTTTCCACCCATGCTGCTAGATGAGCAAAAAATTGCCTATTTCCATGTGAAGCGGGTAATGGACCGGCGGGTACAG